CGAAGGTGAGAAGGAACTATTATTATTTGCTACCATTCTTATGTTACATTGTTATCTAGTTATTTATTCTATTGAACATTTGTATTCGACGTTGTCTTATGAATTATAATTGTTTTCGAGTCATATCGAAGCTTCGGTCTCATGGAACCACTGTGGCAGCAAGTGTTAAGATTGTTGAGTCGTCACGGCTTAAGAGTCGACACATGCAGAGACTTAAGCTCTTTACAGCACGCAAAAAACGGCTCTTATTGTTTAGTATTTTAACGGCACGTCGCGGCAGGATTCATTGGCCTTTTGAAATCAAATTCTAAAACCTTCCTTTCACCCGCATGTGGCAGCCAGCGACGGGTTGTGAATGCATATTTCTGAAAGCCGACCGAATGGTATCCTAAGGACACTCGGTACCTGAGGTTTGCCTGGAAGAAATTTGTATCCAAGCTGAACGCATAGTCTCTGCATGTCTTAGCTAGCACTCCACCCTCGTTAGACTAGGCGCGCCAAGGGCGCAGCGACGGTGGGGACAATTCGTTTCGAAAGCCCCTGATTGGGACTTGTCAGTTTTGGCGATAACCGATCAGGGTGTTTTCTTAAATCTCAGAGCTGACGATCCGACTCGCAGATCGCCAGCGAAAGAGACAACTCACAACTTTCGAACGATACACATACAAGCGCGTCTTAGTGTTCAGACATAATTGTATACAAAAAATACAGTCCACTCACGAAGCAAGCGGTTTCATTTAATCAGCTCCAAGGACGCTGCTGTGAACGCCCAACGAAGATGAAATATTAAAGATTCGCTGTTAACAGATTGTTAATCGTGTTATCTCGTGTTTTCATATCCAAACGTTGTTGACTAGTTAATTCGTGTTTGCATTTGCATTAGCTACTTTAATTTTTGAAATGCAGGGCAATATAGAATGTGGCAGAAGCAAAATATTCGAAGTTATATGAAAGATACGTTCGAAGTTTCATTACAATTCATTATGCATAAATAGAGTATATTGAAGATTATTGGGATTGTTTCACTTTCGTATTTAATTACGGAATAATAACCTGTGTCATGGGATAGCTTCTGCGTGAAATTGCCGATCAACAATGTATTAAGGCTCCAATTCACGTTGGAACATGCGGCGATGAAGGCATCGTTACAAGCGACAGGTTTGAGTCTTCCAAGCTTTCACGATACACGTTGCACTCGAGCAAAACGTGGAATAAACGTTTAAATAGACAGTGGATTTTTCTGCGTCTGGTTTATACAAATCTTTAAATTTCTATAGATTAATATTTGCGATGAAGTCGAACGCGTTTATTTTTTAAAACAACTGACAATATAAAACTCTAAAAATATAAAATATATGTGAGAGGAGCAAATGTTTCTCTGAGAAATGATAAAAAAAATTTAGCAATACCCTAACTGATTTTAAATTATTTAAAGTTTCAATACATGCACTCTTCGAGTTCCTATAGAGGAATTTCAATAGTTCTAACTGCTCGGTAATTTTAGCGTCAAATCTGCTTTCAAAAAGGTAAATTTACACGACCATTTTATCTTTTTTTCAAATATTGAATTAAAAAGAATTATTCCTCGAACGTTCACGCCACAGATAGATGCCTAGAGCTTTCCGTTCCCACGAAAAGAAAAAAATGCGCGAAGATTCATTTTTCGGGACCGCGAAACGCAAATGGGGGACGCTCGCTTCAATACGGCTGCCATTAATCTTGCGCACACCTAATATATCGAACGCGCGCGAGTCACTCTGCAGATGAGGCTTTAAGAAACCTCCGCGGACTTTGAGAGATGACTAAAAAATGGTATTTATTGCGCTAAGAACCTAATGCGTTCTGAGGAACCTAATACATCTTTGAGCCACGGCGCGGCGCACATGTGCTCCGGACAGAGTCGCAGTATTTTGCTATGAAAAAACAGGAGCTTTTAGTGCTCGTAAGAATTTCAGCGAAGCTTTTAAATGAACCGTCCGCGAGGCTCCTTTGACGATGATACAAGATCTTAGGTGGAGCTTAAGTCCATTTCAGTTCACTCGGATGCCTCCTCCCTCTTTTGCTCCTTTTTCTCCCTTTCTTAATCATTGATTCCGCTCGCGAGGAACGTGGCGGATCGGTTACGAGAAATTAAATTGACGTTGGTAACATGTGCTCGCAAACACGGTTTACAATCATTCGAGAATGTCTTGTGGTATTTTTAACGCGAATAGCCTATTGTGACGGTCGACAATTTTCTAATGTTCCAGAACTATAGCTGCAGGTGTTTTATAGTATTATTTATTTATTATTGGTATTTTATTTGTGTAGACTTTATACATTTCTTTGGGTCGAAGATAATGTTCTTTTTGAGAAAGGAATGAAGTTATAAAATAACGGAATGAAACATGAACGAAAATATTAATCGCTTTTTGATTTTGTTGGTAAACCCCAAGAATTACTTTATTTCTAATAATTTGTCAGAAGAAACGTAAATTGTATGTTCACCATAGGTGTATTAGGTGTACCAAAAGTGTATTATATTTTTAAACGGAATTCATAAAGATAAATTTTAATTTACCAGATTAAAATTCATTGAATTATACGTTGTTCGTCGTGTTTAAATATTTTTCACCGTTCCTTTCTTAATCTATTTCCAATTAATTTATACATCATAATCCGAAACGCGCGTGGAAAAGAAAGGTAACAAGACCTCGAGCAAATCGAATAAATTGAAAATATTGCCGACCAGGAAATAGTATTTGCCTTCGATCAATCGGAACAACAGAGCACTATTCAATTAATTCAATTCAAAACTCTATTCTTTTATTTCAATTACGAGTCGGCGTAGAGCGCGACTTCGTATTTCGAACGACACAAGGCAAATCCGAAAATTCGGATTCGCGTACCGTCCATTCACGCGTTCGTCGCTCCCTCGTTTCGCGATTCTTCCGATTTTAATGAAACAAATTAACGATCTCGTTAAAACGCGTTACGTACAAATTACACGGACAATAATGTATCGCGCGGTTCATGAAAAATCGAAATTCCTTCGAATAAAAGAACCGTACGCGAATATATACGTAGAAAATAAAGCGAATCGGAAAGTATAATATTTATTACAAAAAAATAACGTAATATAATTAAGTGAAATAATTAATATCAGATCATATTTCAATAACACAATAAAAATATCCGTTTTCCTTAAGGTCTTCGAATAACTAAACTTTTACATTCGAGACCCGTCTTTCCCTTTAATTTGACGCAGAAGGATTATAAAATTTTAAATTTCATATTACATTTCGTGTGATGAATCGACACAGGGAACATCGAAATAAAATAGCTCTGTCCCTTAATTCACGTAAGGTAATTCTTTGTGTTAGTTGAGAAAAATATTGTTAATATTTCATCAGAAAGTAATGGATAGTAAAAGATACTGTCGAGTGCAAAAGGCTAAATACTGTCCTGTTTATTTCTTCGTCGTTTTATCAACGGACTGGCGTCCAACGCTGCACAAATTTCTTATATTATAATTTCTATGTGCCTTAGGTTAATATTTTCAACCGTTCCTAGTGGTATACTAATATTTAACCCCTTGATCTACGATATCGTCTCAAACTCCTGACAAAAATTTTAAACTGAATTTGAGAAGTTAATGTGTTATTTATTTGATTTAAATATAAATTAAATATTACTTCTGTATTATCAATTGTTAACCTTTTGAGTAAACGTAGACATAGAATAAGCATCAAAATTTCTTCTTTTCCTAATGAATTATTGACGACAAAGTAGTTGTATCGATCATAGATCGAAGTAAATCGTAAAGCAAGAGGTTATCACTAGACCTATTTCGCATTTATTGAAATCTCAAAGAGCGTTAAACATCCCAAATGATTTTAACCATTAAATATACACAATTTGATTTACTTCAGAATTGTCATTTCGTAAATATTTAAATTATGAAAGCTTTTTGCGAAAGATTTTCTATGAAATTCGTGTATTTGCACAGATACAAGACTAGTAGACTCCTCGGATCTTAAGAAACGTATTTTGTTATTTTTATAAAACATTCGAAATAAGTGACTCTAATTGCTCGGTAGTTTTAGTGATAAACAATGGGCCATTTATACCGAACTTATTCTATACGCGGAAAGATTTTCAAAATCAATTTATTACGACGATCCGGAACGTTTCTGACGAGAACTTTTCGCAGATGCGATAAACGGGCGGATTTTCAATCGGCCGAATTTAATCGCACACGTCAGGAGCTAATAAATGCAGCACGAGCGTCGGACCGTAATGGCGCGGAAAAATAAATTAATAAACTTCAATATTGTCGCCGTTGTTCATCTTGCGTATCGCGCATTCGACGCAGAAGCGAAACATCCTGCGACAATAATTGCGATTTACGGTCTGCCGGTTTACAGCAATGGCAATCGGCAACAAATTATGCGCCTGATTTTCGAAACTGTGCGCTCACGTAGCGGCCATTTGCTCGCAAGACACGGAGGCCGGGGAACCTACGTTTTAAAAAATGATCGGCTCGATGAAACCTCCTGGTGTAGGCTTTTGAAATATCGAACGACAATATTGCCTTCTTAATTAGTGCAAGAGGAAATAAATTTATTGGACCGGTCGATTTGTAGTTATTGATGTATGAAGATTTATGGTGTTGTTCGAAGAGAAATATTAGAATTTTTGTGTGATATTTATTATAATTGTAGTAAATTATATTGTAATTATATTGAAGTTACTAAATTGTTGTTTAAAGTGATGCTTTGAATCGTAGATTGTGATTCGAATGTTATAATATAAATTTTGTTGATTCGAATAAAATTGAATCTGTTTACTTATATTTAATGTATTAATAATTATAATGCATGATAATAATGAATATTTAAATCGGACGGGAAACCAAATGATCCGTATACATACTGGTTAAGTTTATAATATTCTTGAGTAATGAATTTGCTTTACAGTACCTGACTGCAGAAAAATTCTGGATCGCCAGGGGCACTCACCTGTCATAGTAGTAGTCCCTGTAATCAAAAAGATATTTGAAAGTTAGTTGTAGGAATAAATCACAAAGTATATATTCAGAAAAAAATATATATTAGTCAAATAATATTATTTAACTAAACACTGTATTTCTAATAACTTTCAAGAGGAAAGCTAAATTCCTTGTACACAGTAGATCTATTACCATTCCTAAGACTCATATTATTATTCATTACCGAAAGAAATGTAAAAATTTGAGCAATTAAAATTAAATTCACCCATTGCAGTAACATTAATTTTATATATAAATGAAGTTTACAATTTGCTTTCAAATTTCAAATAAATTTAATACAGTAAAGGTGGTCTATCAAGTATGGTTCGCTTTTCGAACGCAAAGGGTTGATAATATTTTGCAAAACGTTTTCTACGAATTAAAAAAAGGAAAAAGGGGGAGAGATGCGCGTACACTTTCTGTTATTCTTCGTTATAATTGGGCACAATTTTTTCCGGTGGATTCCGTTTGAATGTTTTTCCCCCCATTCGAACGGCGGGGGCGTACGAAGCTCCAATGAAATCGATTTCAGCGGGCGTTTGACGTGCGACCGG